ACACCTTGCTGGGGTTGTTTGACCCCAGTACTCTTCCCTGCCATGGCAGGGGGTCGGACTCGATGATCTGCTCAGGTCCCTTCCGACCCGACTAACTATGAAACTATGAAACTATGTACCAGGGTGCATCTCTCTGATGCCAATGACCATGCCTGCCAGGGGGTCCCTCCCTCACTCCCCATCAGAGTAACACCGTGTCTGGAGGTGAGTGCTGGTGAGTTTTGGGGGTGAGTATTGGTGTGCTAATGGACTGGCTGATGCTAGCTGACGACAGCCTTTTCAGGGGCTCAACTGACGGTATCAGAGCCATTCCTGGGGGAGCAAGGGGCAGAGGAACGCGTGCAAAGCCAACAAACAGGCCACCATGGTAATGCCAGGGGGAAAAGAGCGATAAAAGGTGGACTGTCACTACACGGTGCCTTCTGGCTTCTGCAGGGAGACTCGAAGCTCCTTTTCCAGCCCTCCAAAGCAAAGTGCAGTCGGTTGGGGTTTGGAGCAGCCCCGCAGAGGGAAGGGTTGCTCTGTCCCCAGCCCCCTCCTTGCAGTTAATAGGGCTGACTGTTTCTTCTTAATGGGACAGATTGCCCTGCTACAAGGGGCAAACCAGGAGGGAGCAGGGCATTTCTGAGTGTCTTCACACCTTCTCCTCCCCACGCCGAGCCAGATCTAAGAATGCAGGTGTAGGTGCCTAAGTTCCCACTGGGATCACGAGGCATTAGGAACCCAAAAGCCTTTCTGGAGCTGGGTGGCACTGTGATGTGGGCTCCTCAGGGTACATCTGCACTGCATCCCTGGTCCCCCCAGGGAGCCTGGCTCTCAGTCGCAGCCCACCAACCCACTCCTGCTCGCGCAGCAAGCCTGGAAATGGGGTGACGAAGCAGCGCTGCCCCCCAGCACCCCAGAGCTGGAGTGAACTCCAGAAGGGGAGTAGGGCAGGCTCCTCCATGGGAGAGGTGCGGGCAGGGCGTGTGGGCACCCGAGGCCCAGAGCAGGCTGGGACAGCCCCACCTACATCCCTTGCTCATGTTCCTTGCCCGCTTCGATCTCGATTGCCGTCCACTACCCCTGTGCCTGAGTAACACCCACGTCACGGCTCTCAGGGTTTGTCCCAACAAATCCAGGGATCGTGGGCTGCAGAGCGTGAGACTCCAGGGACCTTTTATCACTGGCCAGCGGGTTGGGTGAGGCTCTTAAATAGGCTCTATGTTGCTCCATGGTGCTGGCATGTAGCTCCATCGCACTGAGTCTCAACGTGCGCAGAGATGTGTAGAGAGCTCACATCAGCCAGCGGGATGGAGAGCCGTGAAGGCAGATGTGAAAGGTCTTTGGGGAACGGCTGCAACTCAGCTGGAGGTGAGATTTGCCCTGCGATGCTTTGCACTCGAGTCCAGATTCTCAGGCCCCAGCTTGCTCTTCACCCCAGTTACTTTGGAAATCTCCCAGCTTCACCCAAGCAAACAACCAGTCTCAGGATCTGCCTCCACTTGCAAGCCCCGTGTCTCAGAGTGGTTCAGCGAGTGCCTCTGGTGCCTGACCTTGTGCCCTGTGGTTTCAGTGTGTGGGAAGCCAAAGGTCTCCAGAAGTTTGCTGGCCCGGATTGCCAATGGACGCTACGCCCAGAAAGGGATATCTCCATGGATCGCCATGCTCTATAGGAACGGGATGCCCTTCTGCGGAGGCTCACTGCTAGGTAAGAAAGTCCCTGAGTAGGCGAAGCTGGATGCAACGGGGAGCTGAAGGTGGGACATGTTATGATTCAGTACAGAGGAGGATTAAGAGGAAAAGGATAAAGCCCTGTTGACCCATAAAATCATAGATAATGAAGGAGGGCACATCTAGTCCAAGCCCTGCTCCAAGCAGGACCAGCCCGACTACATCATCCCAGCCAAGGTTTTGTCTACCCGGGTCTTCAAAACCCCCTGCACCACCTCTCTGGGTAGCCTGATCCGATGCTTTACTACCCTCCTCATGAGAAAGTTTTTCCTAACCTTGCTGTAGAAGAAGCTGGAGTAGAAACTCACTGTTTCTCTCTGAGACTGAGTTAGATCCTGTGAGTGAACTGGGAGGGATGATACAGTTGTGTTGTGCTATAGGCAAGATCTCCCTGCAGCTTCGCAAAGCAGGACTTACTTGAACGGGACAAGAAAAGTTGGATCCAACACCAAGGTTCAAATGCAGCTACTTCAAACGCAGCCTTTAACACCCAGCCTGGCCGCCCGCAGAGAGGAAGGAAAGAAATGTTGATTCAAAGTTTGAATCCAAGAAAAGCATCTCTAACAGCAGATCTCCCCATCACGTGGCCCAGCAGGGTCAGAAATAGGAGCAATGGCAGGGTGAAACCCAGCAGCGTCTGCACCAGTAGAGAGGAGTGAACTGCCCCCAGATATTGCATTAGCTACACTGCTAGCATTGGGCTATGCTGTCCCACAAGCCTGTGCTCTAGGGTTGTTTGGATGGTTGTCTGGGCTGGTTTGCACAGGGCTGATCCTGCACTAGATGTCACCTCTGGAGCTCCCTGCCAGCCCCGCTGCTCTGTGACTATGCACAGGCTTCAATGCCACTTGCCCAACACGGCTGCTACTACCTGATAGCAGGGAGGAGGCCCAGGACTGAGATGCATGGCTAAAGGCCTCGGCATTGGCAGGTGGAGGATCAGGCTTGAGCCCCAGTCTCCTCGGATGCACCCGATCTCTGCTCAGACCTAGTTGCCAGGCCTGGATCCCCAGGGGCTGGGACCCTTTGCACTGCTCTCTGCTCTGCTCTGCCCTGCAAAGACTCACCAGAGCAGTGAGTAGGAGGAGGGTGGGACATGGGCAGCATCTCTAGCCACCCAGTACCAACTCCTAGGGGGTGCTGCCAGATCAGCCACATGTTAGTAACCACCTTTTAGGCCTCTGATGGGTTTCCCCCCCCCCCCCCCTTTTTGGGGAAAAGGGGGACGCCTGGGGGCCTGTGTGCTTGGGGGG